GGTTGGGGGGGGGGTGCGGTCAGCGCGCGCGCACGTCGTCGCCACAGCATTCCCACGAGCCTGCGGGACGGGCCCTTTGTAGAGAATGCGCTTCACGGCGCCCTCACCCCGCGGCTTAACGCGGGGAGCGCAGGACCAGCGGACAGCACGTCCCGGGCCCCGCCAGCGCCCACCTGACCGCCCGGCTCCGCCAGCTGCACCTAGGGTTACAGCCTTGGTGCCGCGCACGCGCAGTGCTCTGGCCCCGCCCTCTGCAGCCGAGTGCGGATTGGTGGGGTCGGGCCACGTGGGCACACCGCCCTCTTCCTCGCAGCAGGGGGCTCGCCCGCTGGCTTGTTTCCGGTTCGGTGGGTCCACGATGACAGAGCCGGGCGCCTCTCCCGAGGACCCCTGGGTCAAGGCAAGCCCCGTGGGCGCGCACGCCGGCGAGGGGAGGGCGGGTCGGGCTCGCGCACGTAGGGGGCCCGGAAGACGAGGGGCTTCCCTCCTGTCCCCAAAGTTCCCCCCGCTCTCCGGGCCCCGGGGCTGCAGAGAAGACAGCTCTCACCCCGAGTGTGCCAAGGTGGGGAGACAAACGAGGCGTGTGTGCTCGCGCGCGAGCGGACGGGGGTGCTGGGTTCCGGGAGGAGGAGGAGTGGGGGTGGCGTTCGGGCGAATCCTGCGGCTGCCCGCGGCCCCGGCGTGTGGGGGTCGGGGTCGTGGAGTGAGAGGCGCCTCCCCCGTGGCGGGGGTCTGACGGCTCTCGCTCGCCCCGTGCCGCAGGTGGAGTACGCCTACAGCGACAACAGCCTGGATCCCGGTGAGTGCCGCCCCAGCCTCCTCAGCCTTGACAGCCACACCTGAGCACAGTCCACTGTCCCTGGGCCGAGCTCCGGGTTGGGAAGCAAGGGAGGAGCCGCGGGATGGGCAGGAAGCAACCACGGGTTGCTAATTCCCAGGAGCAGGAGACGATGGAAACAGTGGCAGCTGGTCGCTCTCCCCGCGGTCAGCTGCCTCTCTCTGGGCCGCACGCTGCGACTGCAGACCTGTGGAGCCGTGTAGACTCTGCGGCGTGGCGTGGCAGGGAGTCGGAGCCCAGTGTGGCTGGAGTTTGGGTGAAAGGGGAGAGCCCACCGGGGTCTGAGGGCCGGCTGTGTTCCCCACCCCACCGCTCAGTGACTGGGGCCTCTCTTCCAGGGCTGTTCGTGGACAGCTCCAGCAAGGGGAGCGTGGTGTCCAGAGCTAACAGCATCGGGTCCACCAGTGCCTCCTCCGTCCCCAACACAGGTAGGCAGCAGCACCCCCTCCCCGGCCTGGGGGGACACAGGAATGCTACCATCTTGGTGTCCGTCCTAGTGGACAGGGATGCCCGGGCCCAAGTGCCAGACCCAGGGTTGCACCGCCCTTCGCTCCATCTTCCCAGCCGGGCAAAGCAGCGATGGCAGGGCCCCAGGACGACCTGTCACTATCCCCACCTCTGTGCACAGATGACGAGGACAGTGACTATCACCAGGAGTCGTACAAGGAGTCCTACAAAGACCGGCGGCGGCGAGCACACACGCAGGCTGAACAGAAGAGGAGGGACGCCATCAAGGTGACTGGGCAGGCCCATGCCTCGGCCAGTGAGGGCGGGCTCTGGCCCTCGGGCCTTGCAGGCAGCCGGGCCGGCCCGGGCATGAGCACCTCCCTCCTCCCTGCTCCCCACTGCTCTGAGCCTGGAACTAGGGTGCCTGGAAGAAGTCTGGTGCATCTCTCCGAGTCCCTTGGGGTTGAGGAATCCATGTCCCCTGCTGTCTCTCTGCAGAGAGGCTATGACGACCTTCAGACCATTGTCCCCACCTGCCAGCAGCAGGACTTCTCCATCGGCTCCCAGAAGCTCAGCAAAGCCATCGTTCTGCAGAAGAGTATGGCCCGGGAGCACCCTGGGGAGGGGGCCGCGGTGGCGGTGCAGGGGAAGGGACACCCGCTCTATCCTGGCTGACGCGCTCCCTGCGCCCGCCCCTTCTCACCCTGCCCTAGCCATCGACTACATCCAGTTTTTGCACAAAGAGAAGAAAAAGCAGGAGGAGGAGGTGTCCACACTCCGCAAGGATGTCACAGCCCTGAAGATCATGAAAGTGTAAGAGGGGTGCCGAACTGGGGCAGCCAGAGCTCCCGAGGGGACCTGGAGGCCAGCGTCTGTGTCCTGGTGTTCAAAGGCCACATCAGATAATGCAGTGTGGAGAATGCTCACTCCCAGAGGTGGGCGCTCAGGCAGGGCGCTAACCGCCCGTCACAGCACTGAGCGATGCCTGTTGGAGTAACCCAGGGAGGCTGGAAGTCACCATCTCTGACCTAGAAGCAGTGCCTAGCTGGTCCCGGGGGCCCAGCAGGTGAGCCCATCGCGCTCGCTACCGGGGCCGGCAGAGCCGCTGCGGCCTCTCAGCCCTGCCTGCCTGCTTTCAGGAACTACGAGCAGATTGTGAAGGCACACCAGGACAACCCCAGCGAGGGGAAGGACCAGGTCTCGGACCAGGTCAAGTTCAACGTGTTTCAAGGCATCATGGACTCCCTGTTCCAGTCCTTCAATGCCTCCATCTCTGTGGCCAGCTTCCAGGAGCTGTCAGCCTGCGTCTTCAACTGGATCGAGGAGCACTGCAAGCCTCAGGTACGGGCGCCTCCGGTCAGGGGCCGGCTCTTCTCCCTCGCCTCAGGCAAAGCGGCCTAAGACGTTTGCTCAGGAAAGCAAGGTAACTGCTTTTAGACTTCTTTTTTTAATGATTTATTTGAAAGGGTGTCAGAGAGCTTTCCACTGGTTCACTCCTCAAATGGCCACAACAGCTAGGCCTGGCCACGCTAAAGCCAGGAGCCAAAACTCCAGCTTGGTCTCCCACAGGAGTGGCAGGGCCCAAGTACTTAGCAGAAGGGTGCACCAGAAGTGGAATAGCTGCGACTTGAACCCCCTCCAGTGTGGGACGGGGGATGGCAGCTGGTGGCTCACCCGCTGGGCCACGATGCTCGCTGCGTTTCTAGGCTTCTTGAGGGCGTTCTTGCAGCGCTCGCCCCCGGCGCCCTTGTTTCCACGAAGGCTCCCTGGGTGCCAGGCCCGGCTCCCGGCCTCTGTGCCGCACAGGCTGCGGCTGTGCCATCACCAGTCCTTGGCTGCCCCGCCACGTGGAAGCCCCACGTCTGTCAGTTACTTGGGGTTTTCGGAAACCTGAAGGCTCCGTGACCCCACGCCCAGGCCGACTAGAGGAGCTGCCAGGGCTCCTCTCCGCACCCGTGATGGAGGGCGACCGGCACGGCAGCCCGGCTTTTGAAGCCCAGCTGCTGCATCTGAGGCTGGAGCTGTGTCTCGAGATTCTCTCGTTTCCCAGCATTTTTATTGTGAAACACTTGGAGCAGAATGCAACATTAGAATTTTCACAGTGAACACACACTTAAAATTCTGCTCTTTGTCTGCGCGCACTCTCCCAGAGAGCACATCTGCGCCCGCAGGCGTGGGGCAGCCGCGTCCTCACCCGGGCACCGTCCCGCCCTCTGCCTTGCCAGACCCTGCGGGAGATCGTGGTCGGCGTCCTGCACCAACTGAAGAACCAGCTCTACTGACCGCCCCAGGAACCCGCGGAGCTGCCGGCGGACAGCCCTCGCGCCCCCGCCGCCCGGCTGCGGAGCCGGCAGGCCCGGGACTGGACTGATGCCTCGCACTGGTCAGCTGGCTCCTACTGGGTGTTTGGTGTTCCTAGTCCCGTTCCGTCTGCGGTGGAGCTGGGCTGTGTGTTTTCTTTTTTGTGAAAGCTTCTGATTAATTTATTATATTGACCATAAAGCTCAAACTTGCCCAGTCTTCCCCAGCCCCACGGAAGTCCCTGGGGGCGGGGGTCTGCTCTGAGATCCGAGAACCCCCGGCCTCAGACTGCTGCTCACGATCCCCTCTGTTTGGAAACTGCTTTGTCTCCTGGGTAACGGCGGCCCAAGTGTGACCATCGGACAGCCGGGCGGGAGACAGAGGAAATACTCCCCTAGCCGCGTAGCGCCTGGGCCAGGGCCGCCTCGTCCGTCCGAGGGTTTCCCCGCACCCCGCTCCGGGAGAGAGGGGCAGCTCCCTCCATCTGCTTCTGCCTGCTCTGTTCCCACGGGCAGCAGCACCTCATGAGACCGCAGGTGTGACACAGCACTACATACTTGAAACTTTTTATTTTTCTAAACACCAAAACCACAATTTTGTTAAAGCTACAATTCTGGAAAGTTAACTGGGCCTCAAAACTAGCCCCAACCCCTTTTCTTAAGGCGGAGGGAGGCTTTTGCTGAGAGATTTCTTTTTTAAAGGTCTGTTTTCACCTACTTATGTTAAGCACAGCAACAGAGACAGCCGTTTTGTCTGCGGGCTCACTCGCCAGATGCCCACAGTTGCTAGGACTGGGCTTGGCGGAAGCCAGGGGCCCAGGTCTCCATCCAGGTGTCCCATGTGGGTGCTGGAGCCAGCCTCTGCTGCCTCCCAGGGGCATTAACAGGAAGCGATGGACGTGCAGTGGCTGGGACTTGACCCCGCGGTGCCACCCTGCCACCCCATCCCCGCAGCCTTTCTGTCACACTTGTCCGGGTCTGTGTCTCCCAGGCGCCCCAGACGCTGGTGGGTAACAGCCTCTCTCCGCCCCTGTCCTCCAAGTTCCCCTCCAAGCCTTCCTCAGGTTTGATATCTGGGAGGTTTGACTATCCAGAGGAAATGGAATATTTTTATATCAAATTATATTACAATAAATATTGCCAAATGCTTTCCTTGAGCACTGTTGGGTCTTAAATGTCAAGCTCAAGTCACTGCTGTGTGGACAATGAAATGGGCGTGGCCGTCCACGCCCTCCACCCAGTACACTGGTGCCTTCCTCCGGACTGCTTTGCTCACGGGTGGGGAACAACAAAGGCCAAGCTGAAGAAGGCAGCCAGTCCAGCCCAGCTTTCACTCCCGGTCCTCAGGCCTGGGAGAGGCCCTCAGGGGTCTGGGAGCTTGACGTCATGGTCTTCGTCTGTCTCTATCCCAACTTCCTCCTGTGGGGTGGGGAGACAAGTGACTGTGGTGTCCCTGGGGAGAACCCAGTGGAGCGAGGGAAGCAGGAAGCGTCACTTACAAAGAACTGCTTCTTGCTCTTGGGGTATCCTTCCAGGATGGCATCGGACAGCTCTGTCGCCTGAGAAACAGAACCACCTCCTTTCAGAGCCTGTGGCCGGGCCCACGGTAGTGGCCACGTTTCCAAGGAGCTCCCGCACACTCACCATCCGCTTCCGCCTCCTCCACTCCTTGCAGTACTTCTGTCTCTCCTTGTAGACCTGCAGGAACAGGGTCCCCTGAGCCCCGGGCCCACAGCAGCCCGCTGGGCCGTCCTCCCTCCTCCCTGGCCCTCCCAGCACCTCCTCTTTCTCCTCCGGAGTCACGTGGTTGGCGGCTGCTTTGATGTTCTGCAGCCTCTCTCTGTAGCCCGCACACTCCTCCTGCAACTCCCGGATCTCCTTCTGCATCTCCGGCGTGGTCAGGGCACTCGTTAAGTCCTTCAGCTCTGAAACCACACCGCCCTGGGGTCACGACCCGGAGGGGGCTGCTCCCAGAGCTGGAGAACAGGCTCCCATCCTGCTCCCCGCTCTGGGCTCCACCCAGAACAGAGCCGCGCTCTGGAAATAAGGCGCACAGGGCGGGCCGCTTTTTCTACTTTGCCTTCCTCCTCCAGCCTCAGGCAGCGGTGGGCTCAGGTGGAGCCGGTTAGAGACGCAGGTGTCAGGGGCTCGTCTGTTGCCTGTCTGTAGGTGACGTCAGGTGTGCCCAAGGTTCCCGGCAGAGGGTTCTGTCTGCAGCAAGGGCCCCTTCACTCCTCACCCCTACACTGCCCCTGACCGCGCGGGCTCCAGGGCGGCCCAGTCCTACCAGCCTCCATGTGGCGGCAGCTCTGTTGCAAGCTCTGCACCTTCGCCGTCAGGGCCACGATTTTGGCGTCCAGGCCTTGGAGGTCAGCATCACTCACCGTGTCAAACTGGGCCTGCCAGAGGAGGGAAGCGTCGAGTGAGCTGATGTGAGGAAGGGAGATGGGAACACGCAGCTGCGAGCGCCCCCTGCAGACACTGGGAGGACAGTGGACGGGTACCTCTGAGACACCACTGAGTCTTGGGCCCAGAGAAAAGTGACAAAGGACAGATGAACCTTAACGCCTGTCCTTGGGGCGCTTCCAAGCTGGCAGGGCGCTGAACAGGACAGAAAGATCTTTCCAGGTGGGGATAAAGCCACTCAGTGGGCTGAGGGAGTAAAGGAACTCGGAGGACCCAGGCCACAGTCTCGCAGCAGGAGGCCTTGGGGAGCTGCTGGCGTAAGGGCTCCAGAAGAGTGAGGCACTCCGCTCAGGGGACCGTGGTGGGATCAGCGAGGGTCCTGTCAGCTGGCAGGGGTGGGGGAGTGTGTGTGGGGGGAGACAGACAGACTGGAGCGCCAGCCTGGGCACTCGGGCCTTGCCTAAGGTGAACCTTTAGTGCAGGGGCCATCGAACCACCAGCTCGCTCTGGCCAGATCTCATTTCCGACAGAACTGCCTGGGATCAGCCACACCCACTCCTGCTTCTGTCCTGCAAGAGCAGGGCTGAGTATGGGGACAGAAGTGACAGACCACGCGGCCCCGAAGGCGGAAAGATGCAGTGCTGCACCCCACAGTCTGCCCACCCCCTCTAGATTCCCGGGAGGTCATGGGGAAGGAGCCTCGGAGGAGTCTGGTCCAGTTCCACAGGCGATGCTGGAGACCACAGTGAGCGCTGGGGTCTGCCCTGGAGGACGCCCACGGTAGCGCAGCCCCCGCAGAGGCAGGGCCGGAAGAGGCAGCTGGAAACCCCATGGGGGCTGAGGGGCTGGGCGCCTCGGGGCCGTCTGGTTGTCACCGACCGTGACCCGGGGTCGGCAGTGGACAGAGCCCCCTGGCTGTGAAGTCTGTGCGGAGAGGTTCGGGAGGGCACCGCGGGGCGACAGCGGGCGCAGCGCCGGCCCGAGGGGCCTGGGGGCGGAGTGGGGACTCAGGCCCGAGTCTGCCCGGGTGCAGAGCGAGCTCCCCCGGGGGCGAGGCGAGTGCGACGCGGGGGGAGGGCACCCGTCCCGGCGGTGCTGGGGCCTCCGGGTGGGGCTCCCCTCGTCACCCAGCGCGTTAAACGTCTGGCAACCCCACGACGTGTGGCTCCGGCAAGGGCACGGGGCCCGTGACAGGAGGTGGGGGCCAGCCGCGCTCCCGCTGGAGCGGCGGCCCGTGACGGTGCCCGCCGCGCCCTCACCTGGTCCGCGAAGTAGATCTTCTGCTTGCCGTACGCCTTCTCTCGGATCTTGCCCTGCTGCGCCAGCTGCTCCAGCGCCTTCACCACCGCCTGGCGGGCACAGGGGCGGGGAGCCGGTGGCGGACTTCAGCCAGGCCCGAGGGGTCCCGGGGGCGGGGGTCCCGAGGGAGGGGCTCACCGCCTTGCCCAGCCCGTGCTCCCGCTGCAGGTTCCCGAACACGTCCTGGGCGCTGTAGGGCCGGTTCTGCTCCTGCAGGTACCTCAGGAGGATCGCGGGGGCTGAGGGCAGAGACGAGGCAGAGGAAGGCGTCCGCCGAGCCCCGCTGGCCCCCCGCCCGCCCTGGTCTCCGCCGGGCCCGCGCACCGTTACCTCCCGCCGCCGCTTCTGCCCGGCCTTTACTCATGGTTTCCCGCCGCCACACTCGAAAGCCGGACGTCGCAGTTGCTCCGGGCGACGGCTCCTTCCGGCGACGGGCGCAGAGGGCGGGGCCTCGAGCCGGCGGCGCGCGCGGGGGGCGGGGCCTCGAGCGCGATTGGCTGAGACGGGAACCGTGGCGAGGCGCGCCGCGGCCCCAGCCGGCCGCCGTAGCTCGTCCCTACGCGGGGCCGGTTATCGGAACCCGACCCTGCGGACCCCCCACCCCCGGCCCCTCCGCGCGAAGGCTGCAGTTCAGAGCGCTTCCAGCCGCAGCTGAGCACTCGTGCCCTTGCGCTAGGCCCAGAGCGAACGGGAAGAAGCTTCGAGGACAAAGTCCCGTGCTGGGCTGGACGTGTCCCGGTCCCGCGGGGTAGTGCTCTTCCGCCAGTTGGTTTCATCGTTTGTCAAACAAGAACAATTGGTATTTGTGGCAGGGTGGTTGGGAAAACTCCATTGAAAGCGTCAGCGCCGTAACCCCGCTCCGCCCACAGGGGGCGCGCGACACCTGCCGTGGTTTGAGCGCCCAGGAAAGGCAGGGTGGAAAGGGCCTGGCTAAGCCGCAAAGCTTGCAGAAGTTTCTCGTCGGCCCAATCCCACGGCAGCACCTGGCAGGTGCTTTCCACTCCTGACCACAGTGGCCAGTAGGACAGAGCCCGAAATAAGCATTTCTAGTTTCTGAGGTCATCGGAACGCCAAAGAGCAGCTGCCCTTGACGCTCACAGAATCCGGAGGAGGGGCATGGCGCCTGTGAAACCCGCGCTGGTCTCCCCCCAAAGGGGGGATGGCGCTGCAGGCTGAATGCCAGCCACTCTCAGGTCTGCGCTCTCCAAGGAGGGCGTGGCCTCATACTTGTGACTGCCCTGGCCTGGCCACCACAAGGGAAAAGGGGGATGAGCAGGTGGGTCCCTCATACCTGAGCTTCCGCTTAGGCTGTCACAGGGGGACATCATTCAGCATCAGTCTCTTAGAAGATTGTTCTCATATAAGATTTATTCCCCAGTACCCACCCACCCCCAGTTCACAGTGGAGGACTAAGGAGATTCAGAGCAGGATCCCCAGGTACAAGAAACACCTTCCAAAGGTTTTGCTCTCTTTCCTTCCCTCCCTCTTGCTAACTCCCAAGGCCTGAAGCTACACACACTCATGCAAACACACAACACCCCACTTCCCGTTTTTTGCACACCAGCACTCACCTATAAGACATCCAGGCCCTGGGAAGAGCGAAGGTGTCCAAAGCCTGTCTGAGGACCCCGGAGTGGGGAGATGCCACTCCCCTTAATCTTCACACGAAGGTAAGTGACCAGAAGCAGGCACCTAGCTCTTCCCTTCTCACCGTTAACTACTTGCACGCCCTGGCCTCTACCTCATCCACTAACCAAGGGCAAACGTTTGCACACCCCCACCTGCAGCACGTGGAAATGAGCTCTGTCCAAGATCCTTCACTCAAGGATGGGAGTGCGGGGGGCGGGGTGGTCCCTGAGGATCAGCAGAGGGTTGATGCAGAGGGGAAGAGGATGGAAGAGTTTGGCTTGAGCTCTGACCGAGGAGGCAGAGGCTGTAGACTGGCACAGGTTTACAACCGATGATCGTTTTTGGGTTTTGTTTCACATGATTTCACTAGGGGCTGCGGAACGGATGCCCCTCAGAGGGGTCTCTGCTGATTACAGACACAGACTTGCTAACGGCCATCCTTAAAGGAGGCCCTGCCAAGTGAGGAAGCAGCAACAAATAAAGGAAAAGAGCAGAATAAAGAGTACGGACAGCTGGTGCCGAAGAGCTGGTAGCTCCCGGGCGAACCCACGGAGCCGTGTGTAAAGTGCTACTCCGCCGTCCCCCGGGGAATTATTGCTTCTCCAGAGGAGGACCCTAAGAAATGGGTGTGGTATTGCTTTGCTCACTGCTCAGGCTGATGGTCAAACAGAGCCAGGGGTCAGCAGCACCAAGACAACCATGTAGCTCCAGAAGATTCAGCGAGCCCTCGGGATACAGAGGCACTCCCGAACCCTCCTGGCCAGCTGACCGCCGTGGCCCTACGTGGTGTAGGGGAGGCCCAGCCCCACATCCTATTCACATTTCTTAAATTTCACAAGTGAATTAGGCCCTGGGACTGAGGCATCCAGAAATGGGGACGGCTGGGGGAAGTGGGGGCAGGTCTGCACAGCAGAACCAAAGGACAAGCTGGCTTGAAAAAACAAGCTGTGTTTCAACGAAAGATGACAACAACTCTGCCTCTTCTCTGGCTGCTGCCTGACTCTGGGGAGCAATGAGGGGAGGAAGGAAGGGATGCGATCTTCTGTCACGAGGGTCCCAGAGGACCCACTCCTGAAAGCAAACAGCAGCACCACCTCAGAGGGGAACCAATGTCCCTGACTACCTTGTTCCCCAAAGTACCATCGTGATGGACAGACGCCTGCCTGGGGGGAGCACACTCTTCAGTGACTGAGCACACAAACAGGCGTCCAGCTGCTAACAGGGGAGTGAGTGTCTGCTCTGAGAAGGCCTCTGAGCATCAGCCAGGCCACCCAGCATACAAATATAATTCAGGGGATGGGACCTGGGTTATTCCTTTGCCCCGTCACCTTATGCGGGATGGGGAGAAGAAAACTAAACCATATGACCTCCAAAGGGAGTCCTGTCTCAGTGGCTCCTGGAACTCGCAGGGTCCATCTGATTCAGCTCCGACTGGTCCAGAAGTTCAAAGTCATCTCCCTCAGCATCAGTGTCCAGGTCTGAAGTGGGGGCCTGGAGGAAGCCTCTTGGCCTCCGGGGAGGAGGGCCAGACGGACCTGGCTGGGAGGCCCCTGACAAGGCCAGCTGGATCATGCCCTGGGAGACCAGACTGGCAAGGCTGCTCGTGAGGTTGGATCCTACAGGCAGGGCACCAAGCAGGAGCTCTGGCAGTGCAGCCTCATCCCGGCTGGCGGGGGGCGCCTGGGGCTCCTCGGCCCCTGGCGGGGACCGGTACATCAAGCTGGGCATCCCAATGCTCGTGTCATCCTCGTCATCCAGGCCAGCAGGGTCCACATTAATGGAAGGGAAGTCGGGAAGGTCTCTGGCAAAGGATTCCTCTGGATCACTGTGACCATCCAGCTCTGGGAGAATACAGGGGAGTTTGAGACATGGCAGCCACCTGGCCCTCTCCGTGCCCCAGCGCTACAAAAACAAAACAAAAAACCCCACACGACTGCTTTTCCCACTGTGGATTTCAGAGTAAAGCAAAATCCACGGGGCTGCTTGGCTTCCCCCTCCACTTAGGGACTGGGGGCTACAGAAGCAGGGGTGATGCCATGCTGGCTGCACCTGCAGCCCTCCGGCTGCTCGGCCACGCGATCAGAACACGGGAGAAGCAGCAGCACTGGGCTCCTCTGTCCAGGGAAGCTTCGAGGCAGCAGTCAGAGCCTTTATCAGCCCAAGGCAAAGGTTCCCCTCACCTTCAGAGCCTTCTGTTAGAGGTGTTTGGCCCCTTGAAAGATTGAACGTGCCATTGTCTGTACAGGAGACCTCGGCATCCGAGTGCTCAGAGTCTGTGATGGCCAATTCCCTGGCAACAGCAGAATCATCGAGCTTAGGAAAAGAAGAGACCAACAAGCCTGAGGAGAGGATGCCGTTAGGACCGGGAGCAGCCCGCAGGGACAGCTGAACGAGTGCGCTGTTCCCAAGTGCTACCCTAGGACACAGACCAACCAGGGACAGATGGATGCTTTAGTATAAATCTTGACCTCTTTTAGGCTGCTTCCTCAAAGGAAACCCTCTTACTCATCAGCCTCTTACACACAGAAGAAAAGCAGACTTGGCGGTCAATGCACTGCTTACTGTTAAGCAGGTGGCTGCTTTTCGCAGGTGACCAGTAGGACACACATGCTGCCCAGACCTCAGGGTGGATTAGGCTGTTTAAAACATGATCACTTCAGGGGTGGCACTGTGGTGCAGTGGGCTAAGCTGCCACCTGCTAAGCCAGCAACCCATATGAGCGCCAGTGAGTCCTGGCTGCTCCACTTTTGATCAGCTCCCTGCTAATGCACCTGGGAAAGCAGCAGATGGTGGCCCAAGTACTTGAGCCCCTGCCATCCACCTAGGAGACCAGGATGGAGTTTTTGGCCTGGCCTGGCCCAGTCTTGGCCATTGCAGCCATTTGGGGAATGAAACAGCAGACAGAAGAACTCTCTCTCCCCGGGTTCTTTCTGTAATTCTGCATTTCAAATAAACAAATCAATCTTCAAACTTCAGTAGTTCTTCCACGAAAGTGAGTGAAAGGAGACACAGACCCGGTGTTTTGGTCACCAGGCTCCAACTGCGATGTAGGATACCGAGCCCCAGTGTCACTCCAGCTGCTTTCCTGGTCAGTGCTCTGGGGAACCAGGGAAGTCTAGGGCCTTGGAAAGCCCAGGAGCAGCCTGAAACCTGGCTCCTGCCTACGTGAGCTGCCAGAAGGGTGGAGGGGAGTACAGAAAACCGGCCGGTGGAGCAGCTCCCAGAGTACCTGAGGACAGAAGGCAGCCAGCTCCTCTTCACTGTCACTGTGGCTGTCCATGGCCCGTTCCGGATGCAGAGCTCTGCGGCGCACTGTGTGGAAACAGCAGATGGCTTTGATGCCTTCCCACCAGGGCACGAACCCCTCTGGACCTCCAAGGCATGAAATCAGCAATACAAGGAAGAGCCCGTCTGCGTATGGCCCTGAGCCTAAGGACAAGGCTGGTGAGCGGGACACAGCAGGGTCCGCTCCTCCAACATCCCTTCCTCCAGCCCTGGCACATTTCCATTCTGGTCAGAGGACCAACTACTAGGCTTGCCAACAATTCTCAGAATGGGCCGGGACAGGGCAAAGGCAGTGAGTGGACACCATCACAGAGAGGGTGAATTGAGGTGCCACCCGGGTTAAGTGAGGCTTTTGTGGGGTAGGTGTGTGGTGCAGTGGCTAAGCAGCCACTAGGCACACGGGCACCCCAGGCTGCAGTGCCAGTACACATCCTGGCTGTCCTTCCAGTCCAACTTCTAATGCTCACCCTGGGAGGCAGCAGGTGATGACACAAGTACGTAGGTGCCTGCCACCCACATGGGGGACCCAGGTTGAGTTTCTGGCTCCTGACTTCAGCCTAGCCCAACCTTGCCTGTTGCGGACACATACGGAGTGAACCAGCAGATGGCAGCAGATGGAAGCGCTCTCTCTCTTTCAAATAAAATGGAAATTGAAAAAATAAATTCTTCTAAAATCTGGCTTTTAGGGGCTGGCACTGTGGCATGGCTGGTAAGGCCACCGCCTTTAGTGCTGGCATCCCATATGGATGCTGATTTGAGTCCTGGCTGCTCCACTTCCCATCCAGCTCTCTACTATGGCCTTGGAAAGCAGTAGAAGTGGCCCAAGTCCTTGGCCCCTGCATCCACGTGGGAAACCCGGAAGAAGCTCCTGGCTCCTGGCTTCAGACCAGCCTAGCTGCTGCAGCCATCTGGGGTGTGAACCTGCAGATGGAAAATCTTTCTCTGTCTCTCTCCTCTCTCTCTCTATAACTCTTTCAAATAAACAAACACATCTTTAAAAAAAAAAAATTAAATACCTCACCCGATAAGGCCACAGAGGGAAAGGTTCCCACTGCTTGGTTCGTGTGCTGGCTACGACACAGCTGTCCTCAGAGCAGCAATTTTAATTAGCTTTGGAAGGCAGCTCTCAGTAGTGAAAAGAGACCAGGTTCAGGAGCTGAGAAGACCCACCCTGGCTTTCTATGAGCCTCTGCTTCCTCAGCTGGACAAGGAGGCCACCTCCCACCTCTCGAGATGGTTGCAAAGCTTTAATGAAGTGACAGGCGCAGCCGCCGCACAGTGACCGAGTCCATGGAAAGCGCTCTATAAGGAGCAGCCAACACGAGGGACAGCTTCGCTGTCTGCCCTTTGGTCAAGCCGGGAGAGCTTTCCTCCGCCTTGTTTAAAACGGCCAGCCAGCAGAGGACTCCCTGGGACAGAAGACGGCTTTTTCTTAACACTTCTGCTTTCAGGACTAGGATGTCAACCTGGTGGCTTCCTTCTCTGCCCCGAACTGCCCAAGGGAAAAGAAGCCTCCCCACGTGCCACTTACATTGTCTTTCTCTCTGCTTGGACATCATGTAGCCACGGACACTGAAGTCCAGCCGCTGCAAGGCCGGCCTCAGCCGCACGTACGCTCGATCCCACAGTCGGTGGTATACAGCAAGGGGCCATGTCATGACGGTTACAACTGAGAGCAAGACAGGGAAACAGGTAGCAAAATGGAGAAGGGGCTACAAAAACCAATCCCAACTGTCCCTGTGCCCTGTGTCCTTAGGGCTTCAACACTTAGTGTGAACTAGGTCTCTCTAATTCTTGTGGTCAGTGAAGGCAGGGATTTGCACAGCCACCCACAGGGCCCAGCACAGGGCCGTACCCAGCAGAGCACACTGCTGACAGGCCAAGGGCAGAGCCAGGCAGTGTGGCCATTTGCATACGGGTGTCACGAGCCATGAGCAAAGCTAAATGACAGCAATGCCTCAGCAGCTACACAACAAACCACACGGGATTCTGATATATAAGGGGCACAGCCCCAACAAGCAGAGCGATTTACAAACATGCAGTGGGTGGGGGCAGTGTTCCAGGGTGAACAGAACCCAGCAGAGGAACCCGGGAGTTATGTTCTGCTGACCCGAATAATTCCCTACTTAAACGGGGACATGCAGTTCGAGTACAGCTGGTAATACAATACATGTGACTGGACCCTCATCAGCTTCTAAAATCAAGTTTTAAGAAATGGACCTTAAGGGTCCATTTCATTGTGGCACAGGGGGTTAAAGCTGCTGCCTGTGCTAACTGCACCCCCTATCAGAGCACCAGTTTGAGCCCTGGCTACTCTGCTTCTGATCCAGCTTCCTGCTACTGCATCCTGGGAGGCAGCAGATGATGGCCCAAGTGCTTGGCCCCTGCACCCATGTGGGAGACCCGGATGGAGCAGGCTCCTAGCTTCAGCCTGGCCCAGCCCTGGCTGTTGTGGGTGGTTTCTCCCCCAGCTCTGCCTTTCAAGTAGATGAAAATAAATATATTTTTTTAAACTTAAAACAGACTCTATATGTGGGAATCCAGTTCTAGGTGAGAGGAAAGATATTTTTAAGATACTAACCAGTTCATAAAAATATGAAAAGGTCATTTTTGGGGCCAATGCTGTGGTGCAGCAGGTTAAAACCCCAGCATCCCATATGGGTGCTGGTTCAAGTCCTGACTGCTCCACTTCCAATCCAGCTCCCTGTTAATGTGCCTGGGAAGGTGGTGGAAGATGACCTAAGTGCTTGGGCCCCTGCATTCACGTGGGAGACCTGGAAAAGCTCCTGGCTCCTGGCTTCAGCTCAGCTCAGCTCCTGCCGTGGTGGCCATGTGGGGAGTGAACCGGCGGATGGAAGAGCTCTCTCTCTCCCTCAGTCTCTACCTCTCTAACTCTTTCAAATAAATAAATCTTTTTTAAAAAGAAAACGTCATTTCCTCAAGAACCAAAATATTAAAGTATTCTCCCTAGAGCCAGAGCTGGCTGACACCGGAAGCGCCCGTGGAAGAGGTGTGTGCCATACTCACGCATCAGATAGGAGAGCAGGAGCCCAGGGACGTAGCGGCCCAAGACGGCCAGAAAGGTCAGAATCCCACAGCTCAGCAAGCAGAACTGGAGGAAGGAAAGACACAGTATTAAGTTTCTGCCATGTGGCAGGGGCCTGGGTGGGGACAGGGCAGGGGGTGAGGTGGGTGGAGATGTGACTCCAGATGGACATGTCAGAAGGACAGACACAGCCACTCCTGCACCCAGTGCTGATTCGGTTTGGGAGGAAAAGGAGGACACCCCTTCTACTCAAACTCCTTTTATGTAGCTAACCCCATAGGGCTGCACCTTCCATGCCGCAAACCTGGTTCGTACAGGACTTAGCCAAAAATTCTCTCTGAAAGCAAGCGTTGGTGTTGGGTTTTTTTTTTTTTAAGTCAAAGTGAGAAACAAACCAAAAACAAAACAAAAAAAAAACAACAATCAAAAAAACCCAACAACCTACCACATGTTTAAAATGACACAGGATGCACACGAGCAAGCTTTCTTTCCCATCTCGGGGCAGAAACATGGCCTAATCCAAGCGGTCAGCACACCTACCGAGGGCTCACCGTGGCCTAGTGCTGAACGGGCTGATCAGAAGCCCCGCCTACCACTTCCCTTGGGCTCTGTGACATGTCACAGCCTCTTCTTTCTTGCATACACAGTAAAGGAGCTGTTTCAGTTTAGCATGGACTGGACTGAGACGCTAGAGAGGAAAGTGAGAAAGGGAAGAGTCTTACCTTGCCTGGGTTTTGCTTTTTGAAAAGCAAAAGATTCCTTATGAAAATGGTCCCACTAACCCAGACTTCAGCTACGTGGTGGCAGAGCTCGGGCACGCTGAGCAACCGAGGATGCACAAAGCCCCAGCTACGGGAGAGAGAAGGGGGAGCTGTGAAAGGAGGGTGCTGAGGGCCCCCCCATCTGGCTGTGCAGGCAGCCAGGGCTTCCGGTTTGAAGAGGGGCTGGGGAGACTGGTCCCAGGTGCTCTGGAGGTGAAGCGTGACTTTCCTCTTGGTTTACCAAGTTGAAACTTGAATTTGGGGACTAGGAAGTCAAACTTGTTCTGACAACCCCACCCTATGAGAAAACAGCCCAATCCACGTGTGTAAACCTGCCACCCGATCCAAGGCCCTGGAAATACATGTCTCCCTGCACTCAGACCATTGCAATTCACTGTGATTGCAATCCAGGGAGCAAAGGAAAGCGCAGCCTGACGGACAGCACTGCTGCTGGGGTGTGGGGGGAGCAGTGGTGTACGTGCCCCTCAGAGAGAAATAAATAAAGCAAAACCAAAACAAACCACAGCAGAGAAAATTCCTCGGATCAAACTTCAGGGGTGGATGAACCGAGGCATGCAAGCAGGAGCTCCAAGACACAGGCGGAATCTTTGGCGTTGGCTGATGCCAGGAACCAGTGTGTTTTCTGACCGGGGACTTTAAATAGCCAGAGGTCACAGAAAACACTGCCCGGCCTGGCAGAAAAGCCAAGAGGCAGACGGACTGAGCCGCCTCTCGGTTTTCACACTGGGGCTGGACAATGGCGTGAGTTCCCTGGCGCGTCAGGTTATGGGGCACTGGACCTCCTCCTGTAAGGGTCACAGCACGTCGGCCCTCTCAACAGGCTGCCGCCTCAACATGAGGCTTTGTTAAAACGATTATTTGGAACAGATCCGGTTCTCAGCTTACACTGTGTCTAGAACACAGGTTAACAACATGTAACCAGCATAGTACGAGGATCAATCAGAGCAACGACAAAGGGATTTAGTTAGTGTTCCATACCTCTCAGTGTCTAATGCGTCGGGTCTTGGCACTACAATATTAAAACAAACACCAGCATTAGTTGGTAGGGAAAACTAAACACGAGGATGTTATGCTGTTGGTCTGACAGCTCAAGTTTTAATAGGTTTGGGGGAAGAGAAAACAGTAATAGTCAATAAAAAGGAGACACCATGTTACACTATCAGTGTTAGGGAGTGGCAAACAAGGGAACAATGGCTTATGCCTGTTCCTTTCTTGCTGTTGGGCCGGGGGTGGAGGGAAGAGGGAGGGGGTCCCCTTCTAGTTACCTCAGCTGACAGCCGAGGTGCACGAGAAAACACTCTATCCCCGAGCGTGTCTGGGTCATCTATGTACTTTAGGTGCCAGGCCACCTGGCATGTTGTAACAACTCCCGTCCTAGAAATCTGCTGCTCCTTCTTGTTGGTATTTTTTTGTTTGTTTCCTCTTTTTTTCCTGTTCTAATTTAAGGGACCCATTATCTACCCCCAAACAATACAGTCTTTTGACATTCACCAGTCATCAACCAAGCATGTAAACTACATGATTTCTTGAGGTCTCCATAAAATAGGATGGGAGTGTATTTAAAAGTTGTAGGCACTCTGGTCTGAATATGCTGCCAGTACCTCAAAATTAACATCTTCCTCATCCTCCCAAGCAAGCAAAGTCCCCTGCCTGCCCCGCCTCTCTGCTGTGTGCCCTTCTTCTCCGACCTTTAAGACCTTAACAAACTCTTCTGACCCCATCCAACTGTTCACCGGTCTGGATGTACCTTCCTTCTTCGTGCCCTTCGACCATCCAACATTGGCATTCAGACACTCCTCTCACAAGGACACTGCCACAAGGCCCTGACAGGCACCCCCTTCCCTTCTTCTCTTTCCACGTGGTCCTAAAAAAATGCTAGCAAACTAATCATTTTTGTCACCTCAGCAGACGACTCCAATTTTAAGACTCTCCAATACCACCCACTACCTATAAGATAAAGTCTAAATTTTCAAGTTCCAATTCAAGGCTTTATAAGATCTAACCCTAATATAGTTCTATTTCCTAGCTCTCCATTGTTTCTTATTTTTTAAAAAAAGATTCATTTATTTGAAAGTCATCTAGCTTTCTCTTTACTGAACTCTTGATTCTAACCAAAATGATCAATTCTCTGCTCTCAGGATAGGTTTTGCAACTTTGTGCTTATTAGGTTAATGGAGGTATGGCCCTGCCTGGAAACACTTTTCTCTCCACCTGTCCAAATCTTTTGACTTCATTCAAGGCTTGAGCAAGGGCCAACATACACGACAAATATTTTGATCACACACTGCAATGAGACACCTCTGGTACTGCTCTGTAACTGTCACTTAACTTTTCATATGTTTATGTGTATAAAATCTTTTAAAAAGAAACTTTATCTCAGGGCATTTCTGTAACTTACAATGTCTAGCTTAGTGCTATACAAATTTTAAAAAATAAAAATTAGATTAAAACAACTTCAAAGAAATCCCTGAGAGGTAAATTGATATTGCTTCAGGGATAAAGATGTGGTATCCAAAAACAAGAATTGTTAAAAAATGAAATAAAAACTTAAGGATTACTTATTCCTCAGGGCAACTGTGTTGGCAAGAATACCGCATATGGTGACTACAAATTTCCTGAGCTTAATGACAATGGGGAAGGCTGAACCAGCTCTCAGGAACCGCAGTGCAGCACAAGCCTCTAGGTGTCTCCTGAAGCAAATAGTTCAGATTTCAAATGACAGCCCCAGCTCAACACCACCACAGGCACCCCCAACACTAAAGGTGGAGGCAGGACGAGGCCATGTCCACTCTGACTGCTCTAAGTGCTCCACCTCACCTTTTATCTCAGGCCAGATCTTGTTCTTCCATTGATCAATACACACAATGATCATCAGACCAAACGCGAGCAAAAACACGAGACGAAGGGACGTCAGTGCAAAGAACCTGTAGAAAAGGAAAAACAGGAGACACATCTGGTTACTTCCAGAAAGATCACGTGGGCACAGTACAGGCTGTATAATGAACAGACTTCAGTTCCAGAGGGGGTTTTTGTTGGTGTAGTTCTGACACTGACGAGACACTTTGGGTAAATCACGTCAACATTCTGGACCTCAGCAATCTTACCGGGGGGGCAGAGGACATAACCTGCTGCTGCGAAGGCAGAGGACTAAGTCAAATATCCTCTGAAAACTCCCTGTCGGGGCCAGCACTGTGGAGCAGTGGGTTAAGCCTGCCTGCAGTGCCAGCATCCCGTGAGTCCTGGCTGCTCCACTTCTGATCCAGCTCCCTAATGCACCTGGGAAAGCAGGGGAGGATGGCCCAGGTGCTTGGGCCACTGAACCCACGTGAGAGACCCAAAGGAAGCTCCTGGCTTCTACATGACCCAGTCCCGGCTGATGCGGCTATCTGGGGAATGAACCAGCAGACCAGCTGATAGAATTTCTCTCTCTAGCTCTGCCTTCAAACAAATGAATAAATCTTAAAAACAAATAAAACCGCCCTTTCAATTTTCTAGTCTGAGATTCTCTTATTTTGGGAGTGAAATCCATCCTTGGTAACAAGTTGTTGTGACAGTGACACCTTTCAAATCTCTCTCTACCACATTAGACCTAGTACAGGACAGCAAGTGGACAGATGCATTAAATAGCATCTCAGCGGGGGCAGGCATTCGGTCTGCGGTTAAGACGCTACTGCTTTTTTTTTTTTTCTTTTTTTGATCCGCCATCTGCGGTGGGCCTGCCACCAGGATACAGATCTTCGTAAAAACCTTTATGGGGAACACCATCGCACTCAAGGTTGAACCCTCGATACAATAGAAAATGCAAAGGCCAAAATCCAGGATAAGGAAGGAATTCCTCCTGATCAGCAAAGACTGATCTTTGCTGGCAAGCAACTGGAAGATGGACAGACTTTATCTGACTACAACATTCAAAAGGAGTTACTCTTCACCTTGTGTTGAGACCTCGTGGTGGTGCCAAGGAAAGGAAGAAGTCTTATACCACTCCCAAGAAGAATAGACATAAGAGAAAGAAGGTTAAGTTGAGGGCCAGCGCTGTGGCATAGTGGGTTAAAGCCCTGGCCTGCAGCACTGGCATCCCATATGGGCGCCGGTTCTAGTCCAGGCTGCTCCTCTTCCGATCCAGCTCTTTGCTATGGCCTGGGAAGGCAGTAGAAGATGGCCCAAGTCCTAGGGCCCCTGCACCTGTGTGGGAGACTCGAAGACGCTCCTGGCTCCTGGCTTTGGATTGGCGCAGCTCTGGCCGTTGCGGCCAACTGGGGAGTAAACCAGCGGATGGAAGACCTCTCTCTTTTTCTCTCTCTCTGCCTCTCCTTCTCTCTCTGTATAACTCTGATTTGCAAATAAATAAATCTTTAAAAAAAAAAAAGGTCAAGTTTGTTGTCCTGAAGTACTCTAAGGTGGACGAGAATCAGTCGCCTGTGTGGCGAGTGCCCTTCAGAAGAACGTGGTGCTGGCGTGTTTGTGGCCAGCCACTTCGACAGACATTACTGTGGCAGATGTTGTCTGACTTACTGCTTCAACAAACCAGAAGACAAGTAACTGTATAGGAGAAGTTAATAAAATACATTAACATACCAAAAAAAAAAAAAAAAAAAGACGTTACTTAGGATGCCTGCATCCCGCGTCTAAGTGCCTGAGTTTAAGTCTGGCCCCACCTCCAACTCCAGTCTCCTGCCAATGTGCTTCTGGAAAGGCGGCACGTGCTGGCTAAGGCAGTTAAGACCTTGCCACCCAGGTGGGAGACCCAGCTTGAATTTTCAGCTCCTGGCTCTGGCCTGGCCCAGCCTTTGTGGTTGTGGGTGTTTGGGGAGTGACCTGGTAGATGGGAGACTGAGTTTTGTATCTCTCTGCCTTTCAAATAAATAAAAATAGATTCAAAAACTTATAACTGTTTCATTCAATTAAATATCTTTTTACAGATGAAGAAATTGAAGTCCCCAAAAGTAAAATAACTTAAATCCACATAGAACGTTCCAAAGCTTGTCAGGCACTTCATTGAAGAACCCAAGTGTCTAAGGTTGGCTAAATCCCCACTCCTGTTTTATTGAAAATAAAACATACAAAAAAAAAAAAAGCATCTTTAAAATATCAATGCTTGGGGCCGGTGCTGTGGCATAGAGGGTAAAGCTGTTGCCTGCAGTGCCGGTTCAAGATCCGGCTGCTCCACTTCTGGTGGAGCTGGAGGTCCAGCTCTCTGCTATGACCTGGGAAAGCAGCAGAAGATGGCCCAAGTGCTTGGGCTCCTGTACTCGGGTGGCAGACCCAGAAAGAGCTCCTGGCACCTGGCTTCAGATCAGCCCAGCTCCAGCCATTGCACCATTTGGGGAGTGAACTAGTGGATGGAAGATCTCTCTCTCTGCCTCTGCATCTCCGTTACTCTGCCTTTAAATACATAAATAAATCTTTTTTTTAAGATTTTTTTTAAATTTATTTGACAGGTAGAGTTACAGACAGTGAGAGAGAGAGAGACAGAAAGGTCTTCCTTCCGTTGGTTCACCCCCCAATGGCCACCACAGCCGGCACACTGCACCAATCCGAAGCCAGGAGCCAGGTGCTTCCTCCTGGTCTCCCATGCAGGTGCGGGGCCCAAGCACTTGGGCCATCCTCCACTGCCCTCTCGGGCCACAGCAGAGAGCTGGACTGGAAGAGGAGCAACTGGGACTAGAACCCAGGGGCCATATGGGATTCCGGCGCCGCAGGTGGAGGATTAGCCAAGTGAGCCACGGCGCCGGCCCCAATAAATAAATCTTTAAAAAAAAATAAAATATCAATGCTTTTCAAACTTGCAAAAACTTGAAAAGGAGAGAACATTTTGCGAGGCCAGAATTATCCTGATACTGAAATCAAGGATATGAGAAAATTTCAGTCTAATATCCCTTATGAATCCAGATGGGAAAAATTTTCAATAAAACAGGAGTGGGGATGTAGCCAACCTTAGACACTGGGGTTCTTCAATGAAGTGCCTGAGTGCAATCCCCACTCCAGCTCCTGAATCCAGCTTCCAGCCAGTGCAGACCCTGGGAGGCAGCAGTGGTGATAGCCCAAATGCTTGGGTTCCTAGTTCCTATACTGGAGACTTCGCTTGAGTTCCCAGCTCTCAGCTCCCAGCTCTGGCCCTAGCCCAGCTCTGGCCACTGTGGACATCTGGGAACAGTCCCAGCAGATGGGAGCACTCTCTCTGCCCATCTGTCTAGCCCATCTCTCTACCTCTCAAAAAAAATTTTTTTAAATCTTCAATAAAATACCAGCAAACTAAAGTCAGCAGCGTATTGGAAGTAGTGCACACTCTGACCAAGAGGTCTATATCCAAGACTGCAAGGGCAACTCTAGAGATAGAAATCAATATATGTAATGTGCCCCATCAATAAAATGAAAGAAGAGCTAGTTCCTACTCGAAGGAACCAACCACAAAGATATTTATGAACTACTGGGAAATCTGAATGCTGGTAGTACAGTGACGATATTAAGGAATCAGTGTAACTTTTTTTTAAGATTTATTTTATTTATTCAAAAGACAGAGTTACAGAGAGAGGTAGAGCCAGAGCCAGAGACAGGTCTTCCATTCCGCTGGTTTACTCCCCAAATGACTGCAACAGTGAGAGCTGAGCTGATCTGAAGCCAGGAGCTCCCTCCAGGTCTCCAACACAGGTGCAGGAGCCCAAGGACTTGGGCCATCTTCTACTGCTTTCCCAGGCCACAGCAGAGAGCTAGATCAGAAGAGGAGCAGCCGGGACTAGAATCGGTGCCCATATGGGTGCTGGCACTACAGGCTGGGGCTTTAACCCATTGCACCACAGTGCCGGCCCCAGAATCAGTGTAACTTTAAGTTTGATGTTAGAGTAATTGTATATTTAAAGAATCATGATCTTTTAGAGACACATACTAAAATATTTACAAATGAAATATTATGAAGTCTGGGAGTTGCTTCAAAATAAAGGTTTGACAAGGGGCAGGGTATGAAAGTAATTGAGAAAGACTGCTGCGAGTAGAAAATCCCTGAAGCTGGATGATGGGCACATAGGACTCTTTATGTAAACTATTCTCTCTACCTCTGTACATGTTTGAAATCTTTCACAGTAAAATTCTTAAACCAACCAACCAAAAACCAATTCTTGAGGCTAGTGTTGTGCTGCGGCATGTTAAGATGCCAGCTTGCAATGCTAGCATCCCATATCGGAGCGCTGGTTCGAGTCCTGGCTACTCCACTTCCAGTGTAGCTTTCTGCTAATGCACCTGGGAAAGCAGTCGAAGATGGCCCAAGTGCTTGGGCCCCTGCACCCATGTGGGAGACCCGGATGGAGTTTCTGGCTCCAGGCTTCAGCCTGGCCCCACCCTGGCTGCTGCAGTCATTTGGGGAGTGAACCAGCAGATGGAGGTGCTAGCTCGCTCTCTCACTCGCTCTCTCCTCTCTCCGATGCTCTGCCTTTCAAATCAGTCAATCAATCTTGAAACAAGCGCGTTTTTCTGACTCCATTATTCCACCCACATGCCTCTCCGGCAGTGCCCTGTGGGGCGTCCGCAGTCCAGGGCTGGCCGGGAGCTCACTGTGCCAGTCCAGGGGTAAGCAAACATTTGGGAACTTGCACAGCAACCTCACCAGGGAATTTTCAATCTAATACTGGATCTGGGCTTATATTTTCTATATCTTTTTTTTTTCATTTTTCTGCAACTCATTTATTTTGTATCTGATTTGTAACAGCCTGAAGGGAAAACACATCACTAGTTTTTCACATGTATCATGTGACCCTGAATAAATTAGTTTATTTAATAAATTAATTATGTTAATAACAAATCTTACTGGGTTGTTTGTGGGTATGAAAAACAACATATCTAATCACTTATAAAGTATTACACTAGATCTTGGCCAAAAAGCAAAGATACAAGGTACCTCATAAATGCTTAGCATGTCCATTCAATTTTATAA